CCCCCCCCGGGGGGGGGGGGGGGCACTAGCAATTACTTAAATAGCATTTGCCAAGAATGAAAATGAACATTTGATGAGACTATTTCAGCTACTGAATCATCCTGCTTCCTGTGAAAGACTATCACAGCTTTTTATCAACAACAGAAGGACACGGGTGCGTTGTGCAGGTAGTTGTCGCGGGGGAGAAATTACAAAAATGTAAATAATCTCACAAAGATGTTTTCTTTTTAAAAAGAAAGAGAATAATCCAAGCCCAGTGTGGCTTGATAAAACAGCTTTGCAAGAACAACAAGAAAAACAGTTTTCCTAGGCACTACTGAATTTGTTCTGAGCATTCTGGGATGGTACAGTTTTAAATGAAAGGCAAAGTTTAATAATCACCCAAAATCTTAAAATTGAATTTCTGTGGAATTCTTAAGCAGCCCAAACAACAGCGCCTTCTCAAAACATTTTATTAAGCCTTGGGGAATCCCAAGGTTTGCTGAAGTACAGAATTACCTTTAAGGAAAAAATAAGAGAAAATAAAGAGATAAATGCCTCAATGGGCACAGAATTCTAGCTAAACGATGAAGAGAGAGCTTTGGAAAATATGTATAGGAGTGTGGAATAAGACTGACTAGATGTTGCCACCTTGCTGATCATGGGAGAACTGAACGTGTATTGCAACAAATGACCATTTGAATATTCTTACTGCAGACAGATTGAAGTAGATTTGACCCTTAAAATACAGAAACAGCTTTTATGGGAAGCTATTTTAGAGCCAGAAGTCACTTGCATATCTGAATCCCTACTTCTAATGCAGTCTTTCCTAACTCTATGCTCTCCAAATGTATTGAACTACAATTCCTATAATCCCCAGGGAGGATGTCCATTGGGCATGCTGGATGGAAATGTTAATGGTTTTAATCCAAAACAGTTGAAGGGTGTACCAGGTTGGAAAAAATTGCTTTAACACTTTAAGAAGCACTTAAACACCTTAGTAATTTCAATTGCACACAGCCTAAGCCATCATTTGATTAAATACGGTTGATTGAATAAAATACAGTTGGCTGGCTTCATAAGACATGTCCAGCCATAAACTATGGTTTAGAACAATGCTGTCTGGGTTCACACAACATGCTAACCAAAGCAAGCAAACCACATTATCCCTTTGTGTCATTTGAATCCAGCCAACACGTGGTACCTTTTCAAAGGTCTTTAGAATATGATCCAACTGTAAATTATCAACTGAGCTACTGGATTATATTATAATGCTCAATAATCAGACACAATGCCATTCAGTTTCCCCTTAATGTCAGATTTCTGAAATCCTTTTCGTTTTTTAAGTATCACTAGTACTGAGAACTATTCCAAATCTACTTAATCCATGTGAACTGAAATTCATTTTTATATCAGAGAATCTCCATGGTCATTTCGCAGTGCTCTTGTACTGGCATCACAGACCCAAAGACATGGTGGTCTCCCCTCCTCCCATATATATACCTTTCTACTACTAACTTTGGCAGCAGGCAAATTAGGATGGAAGAGATGTGTCTTCCAAACCAACTTGGAACAAAATGAATTAAAGTCAGTGATTTAGTGCACTTTTTCATAGCACTGCAGACCTTAAAGAGTGTTTATGTACAATGATGGCTATTGCCCTTCTCACCCTACAGGCAAATTTAACAAATTAGCCTAAAAATGAAGTTAAATTGTGCAATAATATGGAAGTGTATTTAGTTGCTGGAATATGTACAACAGCTAACTAAGAAGTACACTGCCAAACCATCACACACAGACAAAAAACACACATGGTACTATATGGCCCCCTCCCTTTTAGACTTCAGAAAAAAACTGAAGACCTGGTTTTGCCATCACGCATGGGGTGGGGATGGGAATGGTCAGTTTTGGGTTTGGCTGGTTCCCTAGTCTTACCTTTGACCAATATTATCTGGTCACAGGCTGAAATAATAT